TTTTTCTTTCTCTCCTCCGCCCCCCCCCAAAAAAAAACCATGGCATGGGAAGAGGGGGGGGAAACACCTGTTTTTCCCGGGCTTCAGGGAATCGCATCAGCTTAACCAAACTGGAGAAGTTTCCTTTTCTTTGAAGGTAGTGGTCAGCAACTGGGTTGCCCCAAAGTCCAAACCTTTGCCCTGCCTTTCCTGAACTTCCTTCCTCTCCTAAACCAGCAACATTTCCCTTTTTAGCTAAGGCAGCAGGTCTCTCGGACCTTCCTTCTTCCAGACACGATGCCAGGGGTTGGGTTTGCGATAAGGGGACCAAGGAATGAAACAAAGGTGGCCTGAACTTTCTCTGTAGTTTGGGGGCACACAGTTATATATTTTTCCCAGCGGAAGGGTGACAAACGGCAGCGTTCCCGCTGCTGGTAATTTGACCCGGGCCAAATTCCGGCCACCTAGTTGCCAACCACAACCTTTTTATTTTTAAAAAAGGCACCCTTACTTGCAATGCACGCCCCCCCCCCCCTCGCTAGTCATGCATGCCCACCCTTGGAAGATGGACCACTTTGCTGAAAAGGACAGCTTCCACGACCCCCCCTCCCCAAATAATAATAATAATTACCACCCCACTTCCTAGTACCTTTTCTCATTTCACATGCTCTCTCTTGCTGGGCTCATTCTAAAAAAAATATTTTACTCAACCCCACCCACTCACCCATCTCTCTGCTCTCACCTCTCTGGGTAATGATTTGTTTTTATTTTTAATAATAATAAAAAAGAGGATTTCGCTCCCTCTGCCTCCTATCGGAAGCGCCGAGGGGAAAGCAAGGCAGGGTTCTTGGCTTTTCTACTGAGCTGTAATTTTTTGACTTTTGTTATTTTTTTGTCTAGCTGGATGGAATATTATATTTTGATTTTTTTAATTATTATTATTATTATTATTACTGAACTGCCGGGTATTTCTGCCCACCCTCTGGCCTCACCGCACATGTTCACCTGCAAATCGGCACTAGGGTCTTGGGCACATGCACCAAACTTCTCTAGGAATAAATCTTTTCCTTTTTGTAAAATTGCAAAAAAAAAAAAGAGGCCTCTGCGTGGTTTTTTTCCTCTCTTACTGGTGGCACTCTCACTGGGCTCAGAGAACTGTATGTGGGATAGCAGAAAGGAAAAACCCCTTCCTGGTGTTTGTTTGCAAATGGATAAGAAATGGGAGGTACCGTATTTTTCGCTCTATACGACACACTTTCCCCCTCCTAAAAAGGGGAAATGTGTGTGCGTCTTATGGAGCAAATGCAGGCTGCACGGCTATCCCAGAAGCCAGAACAGCGAGAGGGATCGCTGCACAGCGATCCCTCTTGCTGGTCTGGCTTCTGGGATTCAGAATATTTTTTTTCTTGTTTTCCTCCTCCAAAAACTAGGGGCGTCTTATTGTCTGGGGCGTCTTACAGAGCGAAAAATACGGTAGTTGATAAGGATTACGGCAGCCTTTCTCAACCTGTGGGTCCCCAGATGTTGTCGAACTACAACTCCCATCACCCCTAGCTAGCAAGGTCAGAGCTCAGGGATGATGGGAGTTGTAGTCCAACAACATTTGGGGACCCACAGTTTAGAACCGCTGGGTTATGGGGTCTCCTCCTGCTTTGAATGCTGAAGCTAGGAACTGGCATTTCGAAACCTAGGCACAGGTGTTAGGAGTTAAAGGTAAAAGGTAAAGGTACCCCTGCCTGTACGGGCCAGTCTTGACAGATTCTAGGGTTGTGCGCCCATCTCACTCTAGAGGCCGGGGGCCAGCGCTGTCCGGAGACACTTCCGGGTCACGTGGCCAGCGTGACATCGCTGCTCTGGCGAGCCAGAGCCGCACACGGAAACGCCGTTTACCTTCCCGCTAGTAAGCGGTCCCTATTTATCTACTTGCACCCGGGAGTGCTTTTGAACTGCTAGGTTGGCAGGCGCTGGGACCGAGCAACGGGAGCGCACCCCGTCGCAGGGATTCGAACCGCCAACCTTTCGATCGGCAAGCCCTAGGCGCTGAGGCTTTTACCCACAGCGCCACCCGCGTCCCGCGTTAGGAGTTACGCAGCATCAAAAAACCCGCAATGCTATTATTCCAGGCTGCATCAACAGAAGTCTAGTGTCCCGATCAAGGGAAGTCATAGTCCCACTCTTTTCTGTTCTGCCTTGGTCAGGCCACACTTGGGGTCCTGTGTCCAGTTCTGGGCTCTAGTTATCTCCCGCTTGGACTACTGCAATGCGCTTTACATGAGGCTACCTTTGAAGGTGACTCAGAAACTGCAATTAATCTGGAATGCGGCAGCTAGACTGGTGACTGGGAGCGGCTGCCGAGACCCCATAACACCGGTCCTGAGAGATCTGCATTGGGTCCCAGTACATTTGCAAGCACAATTCAAAGTGTTGGTTCTGACCTTTAAAGCCCCAAATGGCCTCAAAGGCCCAATATACCTGAAGCAGCGTCTCCACCCCCATCGTTCTACCCGGACACTGAGGTCCAGCACTGAGGGCCTTCTGGCGGTTCCCTCGCTGTGAGAAGTGAGGTTACAGGGAACCAGGCAGAGGGCCTTCTCGGTGGTGGCACCCGCCCTGTGGAACGCCCTCCCTTCAGATGTGAAGGAAATAAACAACTATTTTACTTTTAAAAGACAACTGAAGGCAGCCCTGTTTAGGGAAGTTTTTAATGTGTGACGCTGTATTGTTTTTAATATTCTGTTGGAAGCTGCCCAGAGTGGCTGGGGAAACCCAGCCAGATGCGCAGGGTATAAATAATAAATTATTATATTATCACAATTTAAGGATGTTGACAGGCTGGAAGGTGGGCAGAGGAGGGCGACCGCGTCTTGAAACTTCAGAGGAAGAGTTGAGGGAGTTGGGGATGTTTAGCCAGGAGAGGAAAAGGGTCAAGGGTTCGGAAAGCTAGCCTTGTGAGGAACGGTTGAAGAGGAGTTGGGTATGTTCAGCATGGAAAAGAGGAGGCTGAGGCCCCTCGAATATTTCAAGGGCTCTGCCATGAAGATGGAGCAAGCTTGTTTTCTCCTGTTCTGGCGGAGGGGACCCGAACCAACAGACCCGGGTTACAAGAAAGGAAGTTCCGGCTAAACGTTGGAAGAACTTTCTGATGGTAAAGCTGTCGGACGCCATAGGAAAGTGGTGGACTCTCCTTCCTTGGAGGTTTCTAAGCAGAGGTTGGGTGGCCATCTGCCAGGGATGCTTTAGCTGAGATTCCTGCATTGCAGGGGGTTGGACTAGATGATCCTTGAGTACCCCTTCTGATTCTATGATCAAAAGAGGTTTAAAGACAGTCTCAAGGCAAATTTTTAAGAATGTAGTATAAACACCAGGAACTGGGAAACACTGGCCTGCGAGCCGCTCCAGATGGAGAACCTTTACCAAAAGGTGTCCTGGGTTTTGAAGACACTCGAACTCAGGACGCAAGGGAGAAACGTGCTAAGAGGAAGGCACACTTGGCAAATCCACACCGGGATCAACTCCTGCCCGGAAACCAATGTCCCCACTGTGGAAGGACGTGTGGATCCAGAATTGGCCTCCACAGTCACTTACAGACTCACTGTTAAGACCGTGTTTATGGAAGACAATCTTACTTGGCTACAAGTGATCGCCAAAGAAGAAAGATATAGACCAGCAAGGCTGGAGTAAACAAGGAACTTCAGGCTGGAGAAATGCAATGCTATAGACTGATTCTGAAGAACCAAGATCTACTGCGTGTTCAATTGGCCTTACTGCATTTGTTAAGGATTTCAGCTTTAGGTAGCAGCAGTCCTAAGCATTCAGGCCTCATGAACCTTGGCTATTAACCTCAAATTTAATTTGCACCCGGCCTACACTGGCTGGCAGCATCTCTCTGGGGGTTGCCAGGGAGGTGTTCTCCCAGCCACACCGGCAGGTGCCGTTGGGGATGGAATCTGGAACGTTTGCATGCGAAGCAGACACTCTTCGGCTGACCCACCTCTCATTTTTAAGGGTGGGAGAATGGACAGATTTGACAAAAAGGACCAGGTCTTCTCAAAAGACAACATTGCCACCTGCTGGCTGTTTGCATTTCCAGTGCTATTTAAGGCTGTCTTACTTTCTGCCACGGTGCACCCCACTTTGGGATCCAAACATGCATTTGTGGGGACCAGTTTCTTAATCTCTCGCCGTGTATTTGCACGGTGGTAGTGCTCCTGTCGTGGCCCGCCGTGGATCAGGCTGCCTGTTGCAAGACCAGTGCCTTGGGTGTCTCCAGCTGCTTTTGGACTACAGTGAGGGAAAGAAGTATTTGATCCCCTGCAAATTTGCCCGTTTGCCTCTGGGATTACAGGTAAACCTCTCCCAGAAGAAGAAAAGAAGAAGAAGAAGAAGAAGAAGAAGAAGAAGAAGAAGAAGAAGACATAAATAAACATCAAATATCAAGCATTTTTAAAACATAAAAATTAAAAGAAAATGAAAGAGAAAAGGAGAAAACGTCCAACTCTTACTTCATAATAACATTCAACTCATCTGTTTTCCATAAACCAACCTCTTTTCCCACAGTCTTCAAACCCCGAAACCACAATTTTCCTTAAGGTGCAGAAAATCCATAAGGGGATGAATTCACCCAACTTTGAGATGTGCATGCATTCTCAGAACACTCCTTATTGAAAATCAAATGTTTTAGCTGTGTGCAAAAAGCTTCTGCGGCATATTAGAAGAGGATTATATATTTGGATCCCTTTCCAATTATGTAAGGAGCCATTTGGCAATCTGGATTGACAGGCAAACTGTGGGTGATTATTGTAACCAAAGAACGAACTGTTCAATGACAAATCATCCTGTTTGCTTATTTGTGCTTGCCTGGGAAACTACAGCCACAAACTGCTCACTTGGACATTCATTTCCTTTGATCTCTCCTCCACCTTCCAAAACTCTTTGAAAAGTAAACTTACGATAAGCAGAAGAATGTGCTTTTAAAAATCAATCTGTGTTTCCTGATTTGGTTCATTGAGGGGCCTGGAGGTGTGTCACAGGGGACATAAATCTTCATAAGGATTGGCTATATTGACACTGTGTGCTAAGAGACTGCATTTTTCCTCCCAGTTTAAAGACCATAAAGCTATGGGAAAAGCAACACAGGGGCAGCTTTGTTAAACTTCAGAATGACAGCACAAATGATCATAAGATTACTAAAGTACATCCTGTATGTGCTTTCCTATTATCTAAATGACTTTGAGGAATGGAAGATGGTGGAATCCCACATTTCATACTTAAGCAAAACACCTGTTAAGTGTAGTTCCTTTTGCTGCTGGACCATTGCCAAACAGAACTGTGTTTGAGACAATACTTTTATTCTAATAATTACAAAATGCCGAGGTGACTTCCTGTGTAGCCAGTCTGCAGCTGTAGGAGAAGACTCTAATATTTTCCATTCTTTTCCTTGAAACCCTGCAGTCTATACCTCCCAAACTTGCAAGACTCACCCACCTGGGAGCTAACTTGGTATGTATCACTGAGACCTGGGCAGGTAAGTCTCTCCCAGCAATGCTTGCCTGGGTATTTAGTGCAACATCAACGCAGGCTAGAAAGCTGGGGAGAGGGGATTTGCTGTCAAATTGGTCTCAACTAGGGCCAGGGCCTTTTCAGTAGTGGCCCCGACTTGGTGGAACGCTCTGTCACAAGAGACTAGGGCCCTGTGGGACTTGACATCTTTCCGCAGGGCCTGCAAGACAGAGCTGTTCCGTCTGGCCTTTGGTTTGGACTCAGTCTGCTAGGTTGGCAGGAGCGAGATGTCTAATATTTCTGCTTAAATTGTAGAAATGATTTCTAAATGTGCTATATATATAAATAAGCATATGCAATTTTTATGCAATTCTGTGCCCTTTTGCTTGCTCACTCTTTTGTTGATTAATAAATGGCCACCCCTAGTTTCTATGCTTCTGTTAAAGGCTTTGGGATAATTTTGCCGAGTAATAGCTACAAGGTCTAAGCAAATTGTGTGCTGAGTAAATACTTGATAGAGAGGAGTAAGGCAAGGCTTTAACTGCACCCATCTCCTTGTCACACTGAGCTTTATTTAGCTCAGAAGACAGAAAATGTTAGGACTGTTGTGTTCACAGCAGACTAGGGTTGTTTAGACTTTGAGGTCTTACGCAGTCTCAAACTCTCATGAACTAAGCACGTGAACTCACCCAGAATAGCCAGACAGCTTTAATTGCTGGTTTCTCAAGTGCACAACAGGTTCAAGGGTGAAATTCAATAATCACTGTGCATGCTCTTTCCTTCGCTGCATGATGCAGATACAGAACGCAAAGCTGAATCAAAGATATTTCATTCACGGTGTCACATTTGCCATGACAAAACTTTATAAAACGATGCACGCAGAGGTATCAGATGAGCATCGAACCACTAAAGCATGCTTGAACTCAATGCAATCTTATATATATTAAGTCAACTTATTCCCAGGTAAACGTGTGTTGAACTGTTGCCAGACTTGAACACGAAACAGAGGAATTTTATTCTTTTTTAAAAATATATTTATTCTTTTTTTCTTTTTAATAATTAATAAAAACCACATTAAAGGTAAAGGTAACGGTACCCCTGCCCGTACGGGCCAGTCTTGACAGACTCTAGGGTTGTGCGCCCATCTCACTCAAGAGGCCGGGGGCCAGCGCTGTCCGGAGACACTTTCGGGTCACGTGGCCAGCGTGACATCGCTGCTCTGGCAAGCCAGAGCCGCACACGGAAACGCCGTTTACCTTCCTGCTAGTAAGCGGTCCCTATTTATCTACTTGCACCCGGGGGTGCTTTCGAACTGCTAGGTTGGCAGGCGCTGGGACTGAGCAGCGGGAGCGCACCCCGCCGCGGGGATTCGAACCGCCGACCTTTCGATCGGCAAGCCCTAGGCGCTGAGGCTTTTACCCACAGCGCCACCCGCGTCCCTAAAAACCACATTAAAACAGTCCAAATTACAATACAATCAAAATAGGCAAATATAAAAGCCAAATTATATATCTTTGGGTGACTTCCCATACTCTGAATTTCGCGGAGTGCTGATCATCTAATATCACATTGCATTTCTTAGTCAATAAACCATTCCGATGCTGATCCTTCGTTTAATTTTCATTTATGTTTGCAAACACTGGTCTGTCCAACTTTCGCCCTAGTCAGAGGAATTTTATTCTTAACTTTCTTAAACTCCGCATAACAACAACTTAGCTAACAGGGGTCTTTGTTCCTTATAGGATGTCCCCGTGAAATGCCACCCCCTGTACTGCTTTCTGTATATATTGCTGACCAATTAAAATTAATTTTAAAACTTCACAATGGCAGCTACATTGTTTGTGTGTCTTGTCACTTACATTTGCCCAAGGTTCTGGTATTCTGTGGCCCTGAAGGACCAGGTGCGCAGCCTGGGAGTCATTTTGGACTCACAGTTGTGCATGGAGGCGCAGGTCTATTCTGTGTCCAGGGCAGCTGTCTACCAGCTCCATCTGGTACGCAGGCTGAGACCCTACCTGCCCGTGGACTGTCTCGCCAGAGTGGTGCATGCTTTAGTTATCTCCCGCTTGGACTACTGCAATGCACTGGCGGAGGAAGAGGAGTGTGGGGGGAGTGCACCGCCCCTGGCAGCGCAATCCCCAGGGTGCCATCACGGCTGCCCCTCCCGCGCTGGGTGCCCCACTCCCAGAGGGAGCGCGTCACACCCCCAGGATGAGACCACGCCCCTGCAGGCGGCGCGCCCCACCCCCGCCTGCTATCTGCTCTCGGTTTCAGTGCCGGAGCATGAAGCTCCACCACTGCTGCAATGCGCTCTACATGGGGCTACCTTTGAAAGTGACCCAGAAACTACAACTAATCCAGAATGCGGCAACTAGACTGGTGACTGGGAGTGGCCGCTGGACAACATAACACCAGTCTTGAAATACCTACATTGGCTCCCAGTACGTTTCCGAGCACAATTCAAAGTGTTGGTGCTGACCTTTAAAGCCCTAAACAGCCTCAGCCCAATACACCTGAAGGAGCATCTCCACCCCCATCATTCAGCCCAGACACTGAGGTCCAGCTCCGAGGGCCTTCTGGCGGTTCCCTCACTGCAAGAAGTGAGGTTACAGGGAACCAGGCAGAGCGCCTTCTTGACAGTGGCACCCGCCCTGTGGAACACCCTCCCATCCGATGTCAAGGGAATAAACAACTTTCTGACTTTTAGAAGACACCTGAAGGCAGCCCTGTTTAGGGAAGTTTTTAATGTTTGATGTTTTGTTGTGTTTTTAATATTCTGTTGGGAGCCGCCCAGTGTGGCTGGGGATACCCAGCCATATGGGCAGGGTATAAATAAAACTATTATTATTATTATTATTATTATTATTATTATTTACATCCACAATCACAGAACAGTAATGAATGTATTGTCTGGATTAGCCTTCACCAACCCGGCGCCAACCTGATGGTTTAGACTACAATGCCATCCACTGCAGCTGGCCTGGCCATTGGCAGAGGGCACCAAGTGGCTGAAGTCTGGTCTGGATAAAGGATTATCCCAGTTACAATTGATCTCCCAGGTTTCTGTATTTTCCCAGGTACAAATTATTTTGCTTTGCATGCTCAGAAAGTGAGTTCCCTCCTCCCCACACTGTAACAAAATTGCTATCTTGATGGAAGATGTGTGGACTATGTACAACAATGAACTATGCACAAATAATAAATAGAACCCACTTACTTGTGTGCAGAGAGGGAAATGCAATGAAGGAACCTCCTAAGTGCTATTTCACCCAAAACTGCAGCCCCGGACATTTCATAAATGTTGATTGATAGGTGTCACTAGCACACTCATTTTGCAACTGAACATGCTTTGTTACTCATGTAGGCCCTTCCAGATATCTTCAATCTGCATTTCCGGGAGCAAATATGGGTTACCTGTGAACTTTATTGAGTTCTGCTTTGGAGGAACATATAATTTGAACCTATCTAATGATCTGCAGGCCAGTCTAGATGATTTTAATTAAGATACTTTGCTAGCCCTTGCATAAGGTTATTTTCATTATGGCTCTTTTGTGCTTGCTTTCTCAATATGTGTAAGTGGCAATGTATATTTCAAATGGTGATTATCTTAAACAGCAGCAAGAATACTGATTGCAAAGTATTGGAAGACACAAGATTTACCCACACTGGAAGAGTGGCAGACGAAGGTGATCGAATATATGGAATTGGCAGAAATGACTGGCAGAATCCGAGACCAGGGAGAAGAGTTGGTGGAAGAAGACTGGAAGAAATTTAAAGACTATTTGCAGAAATACTGTAAAATTAATGAATGTTAAAATGATGTTGGATTGAAAATAAGTGGTATTGGTAATAAGATTAACAAGAATATGCAAATATGGATTGATAATGGATTAAAATATATAGTTATAATAGGTTAATATATAGAGTAAAGATAATTGAAAGAGGGTAAGGATTTGCTGAAATGTCTTTGTGAATGGGAATACAAAAAGGGGAGGTGTGAGGAGGTCAAGGAAACAAGTAAATGAGCCCAAAGATATTGAAAAATGGATATATTTTCTTTTTAAATTTCTTTTTTTCGGCTACCTGTTTTTGTATTTTGTACCTTTTTTATTCTTTTTTCTATGTGTGTGTGTGTTTTTTTTTAGTTTGTTAATTGTCGTTATAATTTTAGTTTGTTAATTGTTGTTATAATTTTCTCTATTTTGTAAACCTACATTTTCTTTTTGTAAAATTTGAATAAATATCTCTTAAAACAAAAACAAATGGTGATTATCTTATTATTCCTGTTATTACATTTTCACCAGCCAGTGCAATGCTTTCTCCTCCTCCCCTCCCCCCACCAACCTCTTCTAAATATTTATATATTTTCAGAAAGCTTTGAGCTTCTTCATTTTATTGGCTTGTACATTTCCTAGGCAGGGGAGGGGGGGGATTAAGTCGGGACTTTGGTGCATTATGTCAGACTGCCACAGCAAATGCCTTTCTGGCCTCTCTCTGGAAAATATAGCTGATGCATAATAAACAACTGGCTCACCTGAAATAACCCTTGGGTAGCTTTTATTCTTAGAAACAGCAGCTTGCATTCCCTGGTGATAGCTAGTGCATCATTTGTCTTTTGCTCAGAAATCATTCTCAACCAGGGTTCAGCTCTCTTCAGTTGCTGGGACTCAACCCCAAAATCTGCGGAATAATCAATACGTTGCCACTGGTATATTGCTATTGAAGAGCAGGAAACAATTCTGATTTAATTTTTTTTTAAGTTGTTGCATTACCATAAGCACCGAGGAAGAACTCTCTTGCCAACATCTTAAGAATATCAGCAGAATACCCCTCTTGCCTCAACTGCTGACATTACAGGAAAGCTTTGAGAGTGAGTAAAGTTGAAATGGCCCTTTCTTGCCAAACTGGCCTGTGGCCTGCATATATTGAATCACTTTGACTACATATTACTCACGCTAGCATTATAGATCCAACACTATTTTGGGAGTTCGCCAAGGGCTGTGTGTGTGTGTGTGTGTGTGTGAGAGAGAGAGAGAGAGAGAGAGAGAGAGAGAGAGAGAGAGAGAGATTTCCCCCCTCATCTTTTATCAGCAGATTTATTTGGGGTCTTCAAACAAGCCTGCAGAAGAAAATGTATAGCAGTCATTAGCAAAATTAGACAAGAAATAAAGTATTCTCATTGGGCTCACGGAGCCAATTGGTTTCTAGGCAGCTTTTTTTTAAAAAAAAACAAAATAAAAAACTAATCTCTCGTTGAACTAGTCCACATAAATGCTATGGACACTGAGAACAGAGCTAGATGTTAAAGCCGGCACGTGAGCGCTGCCAAAAACAGCAACACTGAGTCATCATCACCTCCTCAATCCCCCGGTAACATCTAGTAATGCACAATGCATGATCCTATCTCTGCTCTAAATTTATGTTTTCCCTACTCTGTTTTACTGCTTATGGGGGCGGAATATTTGGAGCCTCGTGAGGTCACATCATTCATTTAGTACTGGGCCAGGGAAGCTTTGGCTCTCCAAGTGTTCTTCAACTCCCATCATCCTTTACCATCAGCCATGCTGCCTGGGGCTGGTGTGAGTTGTGGTTCAACATCACCTGGGGAGCTGATCTCTTGTCCTCTCCATTTCCCTTTAGCCAAGAGTCATGCGTCTCCCACCAGTTTTATTCAAATCCACAGAGGTAGTTATGAATTTGGACGGGATAAAATCTTTAAAAGCTGAACTGTCCTTGGAGCTTTGTCCCCTCCCTCCATTTGGGGTCCAGGCCATATCTTCTTAAGCACCTCTCAGAGAAGTTGATCATCTTTGCTTCTTACAGTGTGGTGTAGTGGTTAAGAGCGGTAGTCTCGTAATCTGGGGAATCGGGTTCGCATCTCCGCTCCTCCACATGCAGCTGCTGGGTGACCTTGGGCCAGTCACACTTCTCTGAAGTCTCTCAGCCCCACTCACCTCACAGAGTGTTTGTTGTGGGGGAGGAAGGGAAAGGAGAATATTAGCCGCTTTGAGACTCCTTAAAGGGAGTGAAAGGCGGGGTATCAAATCCAAACTCTTCTTCTTCTTCTTCTTCTTACACATAGTCAGGCTGAAATGATTTTGTTGCACAGCCATCCCTGAAAATTCACACTTATCTGAATTTTGCAATGAAGTTTTCCAACAAGCGTTTACAAAAATGCATATATTAGGGGGAAGTACAGTGTTACCTCGGGTTAAGTACTTAATTCGTTCTGGAGGTCCGTACTTAACCTGAAACTGTTCTTAACCTGAAGCACCACTTTAGCTAATGGGGCCTCCTGCTACTGCCATGCCGCCGGAGCACAATTTCTGTTCTCATCCTGAAGCAAAGTTCTTAAACCGAGGTACTATTTCTGGGTTAGTGGAGTCTGTAACCTGAAGCGTATGTAACCCGAGGTACCACTGTATGCCTGAAAATGAGGGACGCAGGCGGTGCTGTGGGTTAAACCACAGAGCCTAGGACTTGCCAATCTGAAGGTCGGCAGTTTGAATCCCCACAATGGGGTGAGCTCCCGTTGCTCAGTCCCTTCTCCTGCCAACCTAGCAGTTTGAAAGCATGTCAAAGTGCAAGTAGATAAATAGGTACCGCTCCGGCGGGAAGGTAAATGGCATTTCCATGTGCTGCTCTGGTTCGCCAGAAGTGGCTTAGTCATGCAGGCCACATGACCCGGAAGCTGTACTCCGGCTCCCTCGGCCAATAAAGCGAGATGAGCACCACAACCCCAGAGTCAGCCACGACTGGACCTAATGGTCAGGGGTCCCTGAATATATTCACAAAAATATCATATGAAAGCGTATCATTTTAGGGGAACTTGCCTGCACAAATGTGCACCATAGTCAACACTGCATAAAAATATGTGAGTGTGTTTTGTGGGGGTTTTTTTAAAAAAAAGAAATATGCAGCAAAATTCACATTTCCATGAGGATTAAAAAAATAAAATAAAATTGCATGTTGCTGTGGAAATATGGAGAGCTGAATTTAACATGGAAAAATTAGAAACTGAGAGGACCAAAACTGGCAGATCCTTCCATTCCTACCAGTTGAGAAAGCTGAAGAGATGGAGTTGCTGTTTGGTAGTAGTCAAATGTCTACTACTGCCTCAATCCATGTTTTTAAAGAAGAGCACACCAGGCTGTATTAGCAAATTTGAAGAGCATTACACTACTTTGATGACTCAGTAAAATGTATCAATAAGATGTGCTTGTCATCACCTGCTCACTAAAGGAAGGATTTCTTGTTTCCCTCAAGTTCTTTATGTTAATGTATCATTTACAAAGAATTTGTTCTTCTTGTTTCCATCCAGAAATTAATTCAGCATATGTACAACTGTTGTGGGTGGCTGTTCTGAGCTAGAAACTGAAATAGCTCCCAGTGTTCCCTGGGGAACTATATTACTTATCTTTGTTTGATCAGCACAGTGCTAAGTATCTTGGCAAAGTGGACTAACTCTCATAACGTGCTTTGTGTTAGTGAAATAACTAGTCTTGAGGAGACAAAATTACTGGAATCTACCATTCTGTCCCACAGCTGATCATGCCCAATAATCTCATAGCATCCAATGCCACGCGGCCCAAAACCAGGACGCCATCTTCCAGTTCGGCACTCTCATGCAAGTCATAATAATAATAATAATAATAATAATAATAATAATAAATAATTTTATTTATATCCCGCCCTCCCCAGCCGAAGCCGGGCTCAGGGCGGCTAACAACAATAAAACAGTACAACAGTACAACACAACACAACACAATTCTAAAATCATTCCTTATAAAATTAATTCAAATTAAACCACTGGCAACCATTGGGCCAGAGCTCCGCGAAGATTGCCGAAGGAGGGAGTCGGGCTGTGCCCTGGCCAAAGGCCTGGTGGAACAGCTCTGTCTTGCAGGCCCTGCGGAAAGGATGTCAAGTCCCGCAGGGCCCTAGTCTCTTGTGACAGTAGTTCCACCAGGTCGGAGCCACAGCCGAAAAAGCCCTGGCTCTAGTTGAGGCCAGCCTAACCTCTCTGTGGCCTGGGACCTTCAAGATGTTTTTATTTGAAGACCGTAAGTTTCTCTGTGGGACACACCAGGAGAGGCGG